TACTGGGACCAGGCAGTACTCTGTCTCACAGCCTGTTCTCAAACAGAGACAACACCTTTGCTGGAGTAAACTTACCACTTGTAAGTGCTTACTTTTATTAACAAATTACTACAACATTTGATAGAACCCCTCCCCACTGCCTCAGGCTTGTTTTTTCTGAAAACTCCTGTTTCAAAGTTGCTCACTAATATGTTGCATCATCTTCTTCCAAAATGTACCACCCTCTTCCCTCACAACTCTGTTGGCAAATGATTCACTTGCAACACTGAGCCAACAAGTATTACAGTCCCATACCAGACTGAAGCTTGCTAACAAGGTGGGTGTGAAAAAGTGAGTGGTGTCTGTCCAAAATACACTTCTATGTTCTAATAATATGAATGATAATATTTAGCTCATCTTTAACCTTCACCATATGCTTTGGGCTTAACTATTTTTACCCAGATTTTTAAGGTATTTAACATATGACAATGTAATTCCTATATTTTATAAATGGATAAAAGCTATCCAGGACAAAGTCATTCTGAGAAGGAATAACAGTGGATTAGCAGTAATCCTATAAACTAAGAGGTAGGAGTTCCACGCACATGTAACTGTTTTCCTTGAACCCACAGAGGTGATGGGTAAAGCTTTACTTTACAGTATTTTTGGCCCAGCATGGTCATTTATTGAAGTTACTTAGTTTAGCTCTGCTATAACTTCAGATTTTAATTTTTTTAATTTAAAAAGTATATTTTGTAAATTAAAGTGGGATGTGATTTACCTACAATAATGTCTTCAAAGTTTTAATGAGGAAAGGGATGAAGAAAGCTGAATAGGTAAATTTACTGTGGTCCACTAAGAAATTAGAGACTCAAAAGGATTACAGTTTGGTTCTTTTAGTCAGCTAGAACAAGGGTTGGCAACCTACAGCCTGAGGACTACAGCCAAACCATGGAGCCTTTAGATCCAGGATGTGGACCCATGGCTTCAGCAGCATTCAGTCATAGGGGTTCTCCTTGCACCATGCCCCAGTCGGGTGCCTGGGGCTGAGAGAGGGAGCTCTGCCAACATTATCACAGTTGGGTACCTGGAGTTCTGGCAGAGGGGGCTCTCATGGCACCCCACTCATAGTCAGGCATCAGGGCCACAATGAAGGGGCAGCTTTGCTCATACTGTACTGCAACTGGGTGGTGGGAAAAAGTGGTAGCAATGGTCAGGTCCTACCACCCCCAACCTGAGCTGGGTCATTTCAGCCACCTGATAGAAAACATTGCCAGCTGACCTACAAGACAAAGACAATACCTGAAGAAGGGCTATATAAAACAAAGTCTTGATAATGATTTCTTCAAATCCCAAAGAGCAGTCCATCATTCTACCACTTTGATTTGTTCATTAACAATATTTTGGAATACGATGAAGAAAGATTCAGCAGTAGCTATTCTATACTGGTACTAAGATAAGCAAATGAGTCATAAGAGGAGTTTCAAACTTAGCAGCATAGTAGAAGTGAAAAACAGATGTCCAATTTGAGCTGAAGATTGGGAACAACAAGGGTATCAGGTATAAGAAATATGACTGAGAAATCTCAAGAAAGAAAAAAGGAAGCCTAGCCCCAAATAACCAAAACACCTCAACTACTGAAATATACACTGGAAACAGAAAAGTTCAAGGCAAAAGCAAAAATAACCCAGAAACTGACTTACAGTTTGTCTTACTTACTGCTTAAGGTAGATAGTAAAAATGTTCAAAAAGGTCATTAGGATATCAGGGAGGAGAGGGAGTGAAGGCAAGACAAGGAGACCACATTATCTGTATAAGTAACAGATATAAGAGAAAGAGCACAGAACTTCTGGTAGATGAATTTTGATATCAAAATACATCTCTCTCTGAAGCCAGAAAAATAATAGAACTTTCTAAGAATACTGAAGAATTAGTACAAGAGAAGCAGAGAGCAAAGTGCTTTATTATTCAAAACACTACTAGAAAAAAAAAAAAAAAATCAGACAACTAGCTCATTTATCCATGAAAAACAGTTATTCAGAAGAAAAGGATCAACTCTTACAAAGCAGTTTGAGTGCTTTTCCAGTTTAAAATAGATCTAGGTAATATCAGGAAAAATTCAGACAAGCTAAATATGACATCATTGGTAAAATCCCATAAACGCTTTACTGCAACATATTTTAAGCAGAGTTAACAAGGTTTGTTTGTAAAACAGATCTGGTTCTTCCCCAATAAGTCTATACACAGACACCTAGACATTCAGGAGGAACAATCATGACAGCCAGGTATGTTGTAGGAAAACAAAAAAAGTACAGTTTAAATTGGTAGAGTTCAAAGATGACTCCACTTAAAAGTATAAAGATTTTACCACTACTAGTTAGATCTGTATCCTGCCCTATGTAGAAAGTCTCAGGATAGGGTTACAACAACAGACAAATAACCCCAAAGTTAAGAAATAACAAGCAAGATTAAAGGGAGCCAGAAATTATAAAATGAAGTGTCACGGTTTACACTTGCCTGAAGACACGTCTCTGCAAACAAAATATTTGTCATGGATTGTATTAAAAAAAAAAAGTAACATGTTTACAAGGGACTCTACAGTACAAAGAAGAAGGTAAGTCTCCTGCCCTGGAGAATTTGCAATGAAAGATCATGTTTCAAAACTGTCTGATCATACTTGCTGTTTGTATTTTTAATGTGTCCATAGCATGGAAGGGTAAATACTTATGGCACACTTTAAGGAAGCTTGGTAGTCCTGGTTCTGAGCTTGACTGAGTCAGATCCTTCAAGAATCAGATCCAGAGGCCAGAGCCCAGCTGTACATTAGGTAAAAGCTAAGAGGCCTAAGTCAGCCTGGATAGCAAGCAGATCCTTACATTGACACTGGACTTATAGGCAGCCAGACTTAATCAAGTAGACTAGGAGTGTCAATCTTACCTGGGGCCTGGGATGGATCTAAACCATGGGACTCCATCTAAACCAGATCTGTGTAGCGAGCAGCTGCAGCATATCTGGCAATGGTGGTGGTATGACCAAATGGCAGTAAACCAGGCAAGCAGGGCAGCCCTCACTTGCCTTCCTGCTACTGATGGCCATGTTCAGCAAGGCTCTACACCCAAATTCTGTAACAGGCCCATGTCTCCCCTGACCATGACCTCAACTTCTGGTAGCTGGACAGGTCAGATGGGATGGCTCTGCAGACCAGATTCGGTCTGTGGACTGTATCTTCGACACCCCTGAACTAGACCAAGCCCATCAGCTGGCATTTGAAGAAGCCCTCCTATCTGTAGGACAAACCCATAAATCCATGCTAGACACCCTAAAGCTGTGGTATCAAACATACAGCCTGCAGGCAGGTCCTGGCCTGTAGAGGTGGGTCATCTTGTCTGCAGGGCCTGTTTCCATGGCTGCTGAAGCCTCTGCAGCAGCAGTGTTAATCCCTGTGGCTGCCAAAACTGCTGTTTTGGCACACCTTCAGAACTTGAACTCAGGTAGTTGACATTGCTCACCTTTCCACAACCCTTTTCCCCACCCACAACTGAAATCAGGCGTTTTGTCATCTCCGGTAACTGAAAGCAGCAGCAGGGGAAAGGGGTAGAGATAGGGACGGAGAGTGGCAGCAGCGGATTCTGGAGGCTTGCCAAAATAACAGCTCCAGCAGCTGTGGGGATTAACACCACTGCTCACAGGCTGTCCAGCCCATAGGAAACCCTGTGGCCAGGATTCAGCCCATGGGGCCAAATTAGTTTGACATCCCTGCCCTAAAGGAATACTGAACTATGCCCAGCCCATGCCCTTTCTGGTCAGTAAATAACCATCATGTGCAAACGGTGCCACTTATGACCACTCATTTATGAAGAATCTTCCTTAACTCAAACACACAATAGCAGCAGTGGACCCACTGTGCATCCATCACTTCTGCCTAATTACCACCTACTGTTAAATCTTCTATTCTTAAAAAAGCTCAGAGAGACCTGGTAACCTGCTTGGACAGCAAGCTATCAATATGCAGATAACACAGCCCTATTTATCCTTCAGCACATGCAACCACAATCAGGTGGCCAAGTGCCACAGTGAAATTGAATCATGGATGAAGACGGGGGCAGCTGGAGACCCAGGCTGTCCCAGGGGTGGGGGGGGAGGGTGTGAAGTGGGGCTTTGGAGACAGCCAATCAGAGCGTGAATAAAGTACTACAGACAGACAGATAGACTAAGGCTTTTATAATATAATAGAATACTAGGGAGCAACAGTAAATATAACCTTGTGATCCTAGGAAGTGAATCTAGCCCATGCCTGGGAGGAAGACAAAACCCCTCAACAGTCTTAGCCAATCTGACCTAGGGAAAAATATTTCTGGACTCCAAGTCTGCCAACTATTTTGATCCTAAGCACAAAAGCCAAACCCAAGAGCCAGGAAACTGAAAATCTTTAGTGCTACTAGTAACATCAGATCATTGAATCCCATTCCCATCTCCAGTTGTGGCCAATACAGTTCTATGATAGTTGTGCTAGAGTACTGATGTGGGTAGCTGGTGAGGGGAATAATAACTGACAAGAAAAAGAAAGGTATGTTCCTGTGTGTTCATTCAAGTGTTTAAGTAGCTTTAACATGAAGTTCTCCGTTTAGCTCTCAATTTTTATTTTGTTAATATCTCGGAAAATTAAAATGGCCTACTAAATTGTAATTCGAGAATATTCAGTACGATTGGGTGGCTGCTTATTGGTGTGTTGAGTTGACACCAGACCAGCTCACAGGGAAGACAAAGGCTTGGCATCCTTGTTGGCTGTTTCTACTGAGAGTTAAAGGACTGAATGGAGTGGGGTGACTGAATTACCTTTTTGTTCTGAAATGATCTCTTTAGAACAAAGTTTGGGAAACATTAGAGGGACAGTGAACCTGGAAATATTTACGACTGTGCCTATGTTTATACCCATTCTGTGAACAAAAACAGGACTTCAGCCTGAATGTAAATAGATTCACTCCCTTTTTTACTATCATCACAAAAATTAATTATTTTACCTTTTAATATTAAGCAATGCCCAAGGTATTCCAGTGGGAGTGTTAAATGCTGGAAGCAATTTCTCTCCAAGTTCCACTGCTTTTTTGCGAAATATCTGAAAAATAAAAACAAGCATAATGTTGGACAATATACAGTATCACTAAGAAATTAATCCTGCTGTTGATATTGCTGTTTAGTTGCGTTTTACAAATCTTTCAAGCATACTGTAGCATCCTGGGGTATGCGCAGATATCAAAGAAGGGAAAAAAAAAGTACTGTATAGAACAAACCCAGTTTGTTCTTACACCAAGATATCCTGCTTTTATTTTGGTATAAGTGTGAAGCAGGCACATGACGTACCACCCTACACTGCTGAAAGTTAATCTTCTCTGTTAAAAGTTAACTTTCCGAAAGTCAGGAGTAACTAGTCAGTTATGCATTCCATGCCGCCAGCCTTAGTCTTTTTCTTCCTGGAGGTAGTAGTTTGCTCAAGCAAATAAGCTACTCCCAGTTCCAGCTGAAATAGCATGTAATGTTGGCAGCTACCTTGGGAGAGCTGGTCATTTGTCTGTTTTGGCCCCTAGCATAACTTACATCTGTTTTGTACATGAATGTAATGATGTTAATGTGTTGTGTCTACATTCTCAGTAGCAAGGAAAGTACACCTAGCTTTCTACTTATAAGACAGAGAAGTCTGACCTTCATAAGTGGGAATGCAGGGCCTAGAATAAGGAACTTTTATGCTTATATTAAACATTTTAAGGTTTTATGCCTACATAGAAGGATCCAGGAAATATGGTTTGTTCTTTCCAATAGCCACTACTTAGCTGTGGTTGGACTAAACTACCTTTTCAAGATTTCCTTCCACTGTTTTATAACCTCTTCAAAAACAGAGCATTTTAATTAATAGAAAACCATAACAATTTAAATACAGAAACCTATTTAAGAGTTATAGTATTGCTATGTGCAAGCTCTGAATCACACCAGAATCTGTATGATATATGGGAAGTTATTATCCCACATGTAGTAATATGAAATACACTTTGTCATTCTTTTTTCATATAACAGTGTCTCCTTGAAACTCAATTTCTCTCACGAACATATTTACAATGGAATTTTTTAGGCATCGGTACTGTGTGATATCTATCACACAATATAAACATGCATTTTAACCAAATTTTATTACCTGCAGGCAACTTCTGTACATACTCATGTGTGAGCAAGCAACGTCTGCCAGAGAAAGGAGAGAGAGGCTTACTGTATTTACTCAAATCTAAGATGAGTCTCTCCCCCCCCGCCGTCAACATGGGGGGGAAAAGCCCCTTGTCTTAGATTTGTGTACAAAATAGAGTGGGGGGCAGGTAGCTGCCATGTTTCTGACTGTGGCCCTGACCCCTGGTCAGGGCGAGAGTCAAACCCCCAGCAGCCTCCTGCTTCTCCTCTGCAACTTTTGGGCTCCTACAGACACGTGGGCAGCCTGCTCCGATGAGCTGGAAATCCAGTGCGTTGGAGCAGCTGGATTACAGAAGCTGATGTGCTCTGGCAGCTTTCCGAGTTACGTTTATCAGTATCCTCATGCTGAAAAAATGGAGGTGGGGCACTTTGAAATAAAACACATTTGATGAGCTTTAATTTATGTTTATACCCATTCTGTGAATAAAGACAGGACTTCAGCCTAAATGTAAATTAGAGGGACACAGCCCCACTGCCATTTTTTCAGTATGGGGATGCTGACACATTTGACGTGTGGGCACTTTTAATTAGCTCAGCTTGCTAATGAAAGCACCCAGTGCTGCGTCCTGGAGCATGTGTAAAAATGCCCTCCGTGTCTGTTCCCCACCCTCCCCACCCTTTTCTGTCATACGCAGCTCACAGCCAGCTCAAGCTCAATTCCATCCCAGGAAAAGAATATATGGAAATCCGGTCTCCTGCCAGGTCAATGAGCAGCACCAAGACTGCTGCAAGGCTTGGCAAGAGCTGAGCTTCCACGTGCTGTGCTCCAGGGAGGGAACAGAGCCTAAACAGAGCAGTGTCTGACAATAACAGGAAGGAAAAGGGGTGGGAAGCAGGGGTGGAGGGAAGAGGCAGAGACAGTGGGGAGAGTAGGAAGGCTGCTGGAGGAAAAAGTAGGGGGAAAAAAGAGCAAAGGGGCCACCTGACCCCCCCAACTACTGCTTTCCCTGCTGTAGCAGTTGGAGAGGGGCAAAATTAAGATAACCCTCCAATAATTAGATTCTATACCTGGAAAATTATAACAAAATTTATAACTTTTCCATATATGGAATCTATTTATTGGGAGGTCGTCTTATATTCAGGGTCAACTTAGATTCTTCAAGTAAATTAAATTTATCCTTGCATAAATAAAAAGTACTTTGAAAATACTGTACTTCACAGAAGCAATTTTGAATAAACTCCTCCATTATTTGCAGACAAGGTTCCTTGGGTGAATTTGATATCTTTTATTAGACCAAACCAAATGGTTGGAGAGTAGTTATTAAACAAGCTTTCGGGTTCAAAAACCCTTCGTCAGGCTCAGGAAGCTGCAGCAGTTGGTGTGTGCTCTTCCTGGATGGAATGAAAAGTAAAGAAGCCAGGGGCTGGGCTGGGCTGGGGGGGGGAGTCAGTGGCCAGGCAGATTATAATGTATCAAAAATCCAACGTCTATGTTTAGTCCATGATCTCTAGTATCCAGCAGGTTGATGAAATGGAGCTCATAGGCTCGTCTCTGGGAAGTGTTGTATAAGTTTCCCTTGAGGATCAGGACTGAGAGATTGGAGAGAGAGTGGCCCTCCTGTGAGAAATGTGCCCCCACCGGTAATTAGGTATTTCTGTCTTTGATGGATTTCCAGTGTGCGTTCATTCTGGTGCGCAGTTGTTGTTTGGTTTCTCCTACATATCTTCCATCAGGGCATTTGGTGCATTGGATGAGGTATATTACATTTCTGGAGGTGCAGCTGTAAGATCCTGGGATGCTGATGGCTCTGTTGTGGGGTGTAGTGATAGTGGGGGTGGTGGAGATGGCTGGGGAGGTTTTGCATTTCTTGTCCTGGCATGGTCTGGATCCTTTTGGTGTGTTCTGGGGTTGAGGAAGTTTGCTTCTGGTGATGAGGTTGGCGAGGTTCGAAGCAAACTTCCTCAAGCATCAAAAAGCCACGCTGAAGTGCCCAATCTATACAGATGCTGCAGAGCCGAGTCAAAGTCACGCACTTTTTACTTTTTCCCCAGAATCATTCTTCATGCAACTCAGAGGCACCTGTAATAGGGTTAACCCTGTAACTGTGGGAGAATAAGGCTGATGAGGGGACACTTTCTACCACCCCTGCTCTTCCTGGGCAGAGTCTCCAGGCCCCTGCCAGGTATGCCTCTGTGCCATACTAGGTAAAACTCTGCTGGCCTCCCTCTATTCTTTTTTTGTCCCCCTTCATTCTGACTTTCCAAAATAAGGCAAATGTCTTTTTTTGAGGCATGTGACACCACATACATATGGTATATTAATACTGTGATCACAGGACTAGCAGCTGTCCAAGTTGTGTGCAATTCCAGTTGTTTGTATTGTGTATAGTATTGCCTAGTACTCCATTTTACCCTTGGTACCTCAAGACGACCTCTTTGTCCAGGAACATCAGTTAGGCAGCTCATGTGAGCAGTCCCTATCTAAACACCTATGGGTTAGCAGTAGGGCATTTCATAGGGGACCCCGATGAATTTGAAATCTATGTTACCTGAAGATCCAACAGAGACCAAATCAGCTGCTCTTCAGCTGACTGTAAAGCTTTCTATACACTTTTGGCTGTGGACAGCATTCAAGGTTGAAGATAGTTTGACAAGAGCATGATGCAGAGATGTGCTTTGGGACAACAAAAGAGTTGAATTTCATAAAGACAAACTTTTGTTCAGCTGTGGTACAGAATACAGGACCAAGACCATGACTATAACTGCTGTAACATTATGGGGTTATATTACTCTTCGATTATTAAACAGTTTACATGCAAACTAAGCAAGTGATATACGACACTAATTATTTCTGGACAAAATATAGTCACTTTAACATCCCAATTCAAATGTTTTAATGCAGCAAAGCTTTAACTCCAAATCACTCGCAGCTCTTTTTTTTAATAATAAAACCTATGTTTTTTTTTCCTTTTTGTTATATTTATTCACCAATATACTTTAGTTTCCTTGAAATGGATTTTGTCTTCTTCAGAGAGTTAAGAGTTGGTTAGCCAAAACTAATGGTTCTAACAGAATATTGAGAAAATACTTTTTCACTTATGGATAAGAGAGAAAAACAGCAAATGATTCATGTTAAATATAGACCAGAACAGAAATGCTGAACAAATATCACAATACTTTCAAAACACAAAAAGAGGGGAAAAGTAATTAGAAAAATGGCATCAGAATATTTTGAGATAACTTCTTTAAAACAAGTCTTGAGGACAAAAATCCACGCTTACTACCTGCAATAAAATTCATACATTACTAATAATGCACACAATACTTTAGTTTCCCTCACTGAAATTCAACAATTTGAACCAGAATGAAGAAACTATAGTCTTTCCTCAACTTATCTACAATGCTAAATTTAACATGACTACACTATTGACTGCCAGGTTACCATCTAATGAGTAAAACTCTTCCGACAACTGTGAAGCATACGGTAATGCTATGTGAATGTCTGAACAAAATGAAATGAAATGTGATGTGGCTGACTCACCATCCATGAACAAGAAAAAAAAACTAATAGCTGAAATCACTTTTTATTCATTTGAATGATAGCTTTAATACAATTCAGCAACACTGCTAAGAGAAACTGTTCTTAGCTGTAATTAGTTAGCTCAGTCTACATCAATCAGCATATTTTTCTTTTGCAGACCATAAACTTACTAATGGTGTGCAAGAAATAAATGCTATAACAGGGGACCACGAGGTATTTACTTTAGTAAAGCTAAAGAAAAAGGAAATTGATACTTTTCTTTTTAAAGACGCCTCTACCTCTGACTTACTGATCTGTATTTTAACCACTGTTTACCAAGTCCTTATCTATGTTTCTCACAAAAAAGTTTATACTAGGATCTCCCATCAATTCCTTGCTCCCTCACTTAGAAAGCTTTACAA